CGTTCAGTGCCTTCTCTATAGACTCGCAGGAGCCTTATTTTTGGGCTAGATGCTAAAAGACACTGCCTGAACGGGTTGGGTTACTAGGTTCTAATTTTTGGGAAGTTGCAAAGCGCCGTGGGTAACCTCATCAGTTTTCCGCTGCGATAACAGTTGTAAAATGGTGCGAGTTGTCTATATCTGTTTTGACCTGACTACCATCATCAGGAGATTTGCACTCCTTTAGAAAACGCGGAGCTTTCCAGTTGAATTTTGTGGAGTAGTGCTTTGCTATTGTTGAAGCATGCTTTCAAAACATCAACTTTTGTAAATCAAATGCAGGTAACTTATTCAGTGCTGCAATTCCAGCTGATAATTTGGGAATGATTGCAACAAGAAGTTGCTTATTTCGGGGTTTCTCATGTGATTTGCGTATAAGATCTTTTACGGAGCGATTACAACGGCAAACGGCTGTGGTTCGTTCCTGAAAAGAATGAACTTCGGTTCTCAATTTTGTAAATTAAGGCTCATAAATATTTGTTCAGTTGCTTTCCCCTTGTTTGTGTTTGACCTAGTTTTTTTAAACTTTGTTCATATTTTGCTCAATTATTTCGGACGCTATCTATTTTTTAAATCTGATTTTAATTGTTTTCTGTGATTTCCAAGATCATTTTGACCGAGGTTCCATTGCTTAAATAGTACAGGTAGGCTGTTGGTCTGAAAAATTAAGTTTGCTCCTGTTCACCCCAGACTTTTATTGAGTGCCCTCCTTCCGGCACTAACTGATAACAGCTTGCTCCTATTGTTTGCAATTTGAGTAATTCATACAAAGATGAGACTTGCTTACACTGTATTTCCATCGTTTTGCAGAGAGGGATTCGAATGGTTTCAACGGATTGCACATGAATGGGCAGGATTCCCTTGTGCAACCCTTACTCACGGATTTCTACCAGGTTAGTTTCAATACATTTTCACTTGTCAACTAATACCGAGCGCAGAACATGATTTCTTAGTAATAGACTTTGGATTCGATGACCCGCTTAGTGACTATAAAGCCTAAAAAGCCACCCCTTAGGCTGCTGCGAAAGGTCATTCCATTCTGACATTGACTTCTTCTTATGGCATTGCGTTAATTCCATATATTTTCTGTGCGTTACTTGAAAGCGCCGTTTAGCATAGCGTATTCTATTCGTACTAGGATAATAGCCAATATGACTGAAGATGGTGGTGTGGTCACCAACATAATTTACAGATTACGATGTGTTATGGATATTGGCTGGCTGGTATACACGATGAGCCTGCTGTCTTCGATCTGTTCTTCAGGTGAATTTCGAAGATTACGATAATCTCAAAATTTATTCAGTGTTTTCAAAAACTTACATTCGTCAATTATATGTGTTGTGTGCTGGACGTAAGACAGTCATTAAGAAACTCTCAAGTGGCATCAGTGGNTTTCCCCTGAACGACTTTTTCTTTGGATACTAGAATTTGTGAGTAGGCACTACCAACTCATTTGACTATCAATTTCCTCGAACTCTGTTTGTGAAATCTGAGAATGACTGAATCAGATTGGCGGAAGGTGTGAAATGATTATAGAGGTGACAGTGAAAATAAGCCCACATATTTGCTCTGCTTGCGTATGGGAGTTGAATGAACAGAAGTCGTACATTTTCTCAGTCAGCCCGTTCGCTGATAACCAGTCATTTTGCGAATTCCAGAAAGAATCCATTCCACGGGGAGTTCACAATATTTGCTGGATTGGAGGATTGCCTTCGCTTTGTGGAAAGCTTCAGATTCAGTAAAAGCGGTGGGTATACTTATTGTTGCCAAAACACGTTCATATGTCAAGAGAGTCTTTCATTTCGCGATGGCTCATTTCAACTAACTGCCTCATCTAAAGCAGTCCCAATCGACTGGGATCCATAAAGATTTCACAGATGCTATTTGATGCTGCCGTCAGAGAGTGAACAAATTCGATTGGGAAGCTTTATTTCGGCTTTAGCCAACTCATACTTAGGTAGAGAGTCTTCAACACTCCTGCTCCTTCGTTATCTTAGTGCTGGATGCGTAAATATCCTCGGCAATGCCTTATGTCTTATAGAGCGAACCTAAGTAAAAAACTATGCTCTATTTTTTTAAGGGATTACCAACCAACCGATCCTGTTGGCAAGAGAGTTGTCCGGGGTAGATTCGCAAAAATTGTGCTGGGAACATTTTAAGATGGTAGGGCTTCTCATAAATGGAGTCTAGGCCGCCCCTGAATATTTGAGGTTACAGAAGCGGCTAGAGGATTGTGTTGTTTGAAATGTTATACTGAATTTTTTTGAAAACTCCTCGGAAACAGCTGATAAAAATACATCGCATTCTCTATAATCAACATGTTCATGTATTATTACTTTGTTTCAGATATTGACTTCATCAGGAAACTTCTGCCTGAGGATTGCAACCCTGACTTTTTCAAATATCTGAACGATCTCGATTGTGGCGGCTTGGTTATCAAAGCTATTCCTGAAGGTTCAGTTATACTCGATTGATAGATATCGACTTTGTAGTTTTTTTTTCTTTTCACGCCTGGAAGCTTTTGAGCGATATCTCCTCACCAGTTGGATCGCCCGGCTAACGCCAGGCTCTCCTCCTTCCTGTGTCAAACACCCTATCCCGAGA